CCCAGTTCCACCCACACAGACGGCGTACCTGCAGCATCCAGAACCTCGGCATCGACCCTGTCTGACAGCAGACAAAGAAGACCGTGAGCCCCCTGCACCCCTTTGAGAAGCTCTTCCCTCGGCACAGGTTCATCAGAGTCCCACAGAGACACCTCACACCTGTTTCCATGTATATCAATGACAGAAAAGGACCAAATGTGTAAGGTGGAATGTCATTCAGTTTCACAGGCTGATTTAGGTACACAGGCATATAAATGCTAGCCGAGGAAACTGACAGCAGTGGTGAATGTGTGTGACCCCGGGAGAGGTCACGGTCTATCGCACAGGACTTTTAACTTTAAATCTCATAGCCTCTGCAGAAGTGCGTTAACATCCGATGACTGCCTTAACATAGCTTAAACTGAAAGGAAAAGACAATCAGGGTGACAGTCACGCGGAGTCTGCTGTCAGTTAGTAAATGCTGCCTTGTCGATGTCAAATAATAGTTAGTTGACGGTCAAAAATACTGCATAGGCCTACACTCCAGCCGCTGACAGGATCTTCATCCCCTCTTGCGGAATGCGTCTCGTCACGAAAACCTTCATGAGTTTGCCAACTGTCAGCATCCCACGGTCGAAATGAAGGGAAGTCCTCTTCGGACAGAAGTGACTTTGGGTGGGGGGGGGGGTGGACGTCTGCAAAGTCTGTTCAGGTACTTCCACGGTTCGATGTCTGCACTCAGTGTGAAAAAAACTATACACATCAGGAAGTACTTAATTTCATAGTACTGCGCATGCGTGGAGTTGTGGCGGTCTTGCACCGTCTCCGATTAAGGTCTTTTCTTGGCTCTGATTTAATGTCAAAGATAAAATTAAAAAAGTTGTCTTGCCTGCTGTCTTGTAGGTCAGTACTTGCCCCTATTCTTTTCCACTTCAGGCACCGAATTCCACTACATTTCAGAGAGAAATATTCAGTGATGGAGGACGTTTTGACTTCATTAAAAGTAATAATACCACAATACTTAAGTAGTGTTTGGCCAGAAGTAAAAGTCATTTCATCAAAATATACTTTAAGTATATTATATTGCAGAATGGCTTGTTTCAGAGTAATGTACAGTGCTGTGCAAAAGTATCAATTAACAAAGCACAAAGTGAGTGGACAGAAGAAAAAAATAAAACTAATTAATATTTGGTGGGACCACACTTTGCCTTCAAAACAGCATAAATACTTCTAGGTACACTAGTACAAAGTCAGGGGTTTTGTAGGCATATCGTCAGGTGTAAACAACTATACCAAACTGCTAAATGATCATAAATTCAATGTAGGTTGAAACATAATCATTAGCTGAAACAGAAACAGCTGAAATGGTCATGGGTTGCCAATTAATCGGAAGGTTGGAGGTTCAATTCCTGGCTCCTTCAGGCTGCATGTCAAAATAGTGTCCTTGGGCAAGATACTGAACACCAAATTGCCTGTAGTGGTTGTTCCACCAGTGTGTGAATGTGAATTTATAGAGCATTTGTAGGAAGAATACAAGGTAAGGCATAGCAACAAGATACAAGGTAGTTTGCTGTCTCTCCCAGGCAGAAAGTTAAAGGCAAAAACTCTTTTGAAGAAGCACAAACGGGCAACATTGAGAACAGTAGAGGCAGTGGGCGGCCAAAGAAACTTACTGCTGCATATAAGTCACATCATGCTTACAGTACTTCCCTTCACAATCGGAAGATGTCCAGCAGTGACATCAGCTCAGAGCTGCAGAAAACAGTAGGACCCTGGGACACCAATCTACTGCCTAAGAAGTCTGGTCAGAAGTGGCCTTCATGGAAAACTTGCGGCCTCTGACATGGAAACAAGGCTTTGCGAGTGTCTGCAGGCAACAGTGAAGCATGCTGGAGAATCCTTGCAAGCTTGGGGCTGCATTTCTGCAAACAGAGTTGGGGATTTGGTCAGACTTAATGGTCTCCTCAATGCTGAGAAGTACAAGCAGATACTTATCCATCATGCAATACCATCAGGGTGCCATCAGATTGGCCCCAAATTTATTCTGCAGCATAATAACGACCCCAAACACACAGCGAAAGTCATTAAGAACCATATTCAGCATAAAGAAGAATAAGGAGTCCTAGAAGTGATGGTAATGCCCCCACAGAGCACTGATCTCAACATCAAGGAGTCTGCCTGGATTACTTGAGAGAGAGAGAAGCAACTGAGGCTTCCTAAATCCACAGAAGAACTGTGGGGAGTTCTCCAAGATGTTTGGGCCAACTTACCTGCCGAGTTCCTTTGCAAATTATGAGTAAGTGTACCTAGAAAAACTGTTGCTATTTTCAAGGCAAAATTTGGTCACACCAAACATGGATTTGATTTAGGTTTTTCTTCTGTTCACTCATGATGCATTTGGTATAAATAAATATAATCTAAGCTATGAACACTGTACTGCATTTTTCCACACTGGTCTAAGACTTTTGTACAGTATTCTGTATATGATGATATTGAATTGTAATTATTGATGTTTGCCATTAAACATTACTTTAATATTGCACCTGGTAAATGTGGGGCTAATGTTAATTACTTTACACACAGTGGGATCAATAGTCTTAATTTATGATAACACAATGTAATTTATTTGTAGATTTTATTTTGTTATATTAATCTGAATCTGCACAGTAACTAAAGTCATCAAATACACTCACCACTCACTGTATTAGGTACACCTGTTCAATTGCTTGTTAAGACTTAGACTTGAATTGTCATTCAAATTCACATTCACAATGTACATTTGAGCGAGATTTGTGACTTAGCTGATTTTTCCTGAAGTCAACGACAATCTCTTTTGTTTTGTTGACATAAGGGTAAGATTGTTTGTGTCACACCAGTCCACCAGGTGTTTCACCTCCTCTCTGTAGGCCAGTTTGTTGTTGTCGTTGTTAACACAAATAGCTAATCAGCCAATTACATGGCAGCAACTCAATGTATTTAGGCATTAGACGTGGTCTCTGAGGTTCAAATTGGGCATCAAAATGGGGAAGAAAGGGGATTTAAAGCCCCTTTTCCACTGCATAGTACCAGCTCGACTCGCCTCGCCTCGCCTCGAGTCTACTCGCCTTTTTTCATTGTGGAAATGTTGTACCTGCACCTGCTATCAGGTACTTTTTTCCGTATCACCTCTGTCGAGGTTCCAAGTGAGCTGAGGTGATACTAAAATGTGACGTGAAAACACGGCAGACTGCTGATTGGTCAGAGAGAATCATCACTATTCACTGCATCATCATTGTGCACACCAGACAGAGGCCAGCAACAGAAAATTTTATATTTTACAGTTTTCATACATTATTTCATCACTTAATCCACTTCTGAGAAGTTTTGAGGTGATAAATTAACTGTATAGATTTTGAATATTGACAGGTTTACGAAAAGTGATGGTTGAAAGTTTTCAGAGTTGAGGAGGTCTGCAAGCAGTGGCAGGGGAAGCCTGCGAAGCTGGCTGGCCACCTGCTCGCAGAGCCTCTGGTCCCACAGTCACAAAGACCACTGCAGCAACAACGGCAGAGGAACAGCTGGAAGGTTTTCATACTGCTTATCTGTCTTTACATTCTGAGTACTACCTGCAATGGAAAACGGAGCACGTTGCATGGTTGTTGGTGAGTATTTCAGAAACTGCTGATCTACTGGGATTTTCACACACAATCATCTTAAGGGTTTACAGAGAATGGCCCAAAATAGATAAAATATCCAGAGAGTGGCAGGTGTGTGGACGAAAATGCCTTGTTGTTGTCAGAGGAGAATGGGCAGTCTGGTTTGAGATGACAGAAAGACAACAGTAACTCAAACAACCACTTGTTACAACAAGGTATGCAGAATACCATATCTCTGAACGCACAACACGTCAAGCCTTGAAGCAGATGGGCTACAGCAACAGAAGACCACACTGGATGCCACTCCTGTCAGCAAGACAGGAAACTGAGGCTACAATTGGCACAGACTCTGTACTCCAGTCACCAGATCTAAGTCCAATAGAGCACCTTTGGGATGTGGTGGAAAGAGAGATTTGCATCATGGTGTGCAATCTGCAGCAACTGTGTAATGGTATCATGTCAAAATGGACCAAAGTTGATGAAAGTATGCCTCCTCCAACACGGTACTGGCAATAAAGTGGCCATCCATCCATCCATCCATCGTCAGCCGCTCATCCTGCATACAGGGTCACGGGGGGCTGGAGCCAATCCCAGCTTACATCGAGCGAAAGGCGGGGTACACCCTGGCAGGTCGCCAGTCCATTGCAGGGTAAAGTACAACAATTCCCTTTGAATTGTAGAGGAGGAGAAGTGCCATAAAATGGATATAAAAGTACCTCAGAATTTTACAATTTTTTCTTTCAAAAAAGGCTACAGTAAATTCAGGCAAGCCTACTTAGTTACTTTCTACCACTGAAAAGATCTGGCCTTCTTCTCCACTCCAATTTATTTGACATCTAGGCTATATTTAGTGACTTTTATAGATTCAAAATATTAAAATATAATGAGCTTGTAAATTCTGATGCATTAATATCATATAGGCTTATGTAGATATATAAGACTACACAGCAGTTTGAAGAAGTTCAAATTAAATCCACTTACCCATTAGTAAAATTATGCTTAGCCAACATAATGATACCATCAGTAAAATAATATCATAAAAAATAACACTGACATTGGCCATTTTGCTATAGGTCAATATTTGTTGCTGATAGTCCTGTAATTTTACTTAAGAGTATTTGAATTTTTGCATTGCTACCACTGGCAGTCAGCCTGAAAAAATAAATGTTTCTTGGTATCAGTTTGTTTATTTGTCACACAAGACCTGTTTTTCTTGGCAGCAGTTCGTGAGTATAATATAAATAATCCTCAACTGAAAATGAAAAATGAATCATCTTCCGTTTCGGGGGAGCCTTTTTTTTTAAATGACCACTTCGATCGACGTACTTCAAAGTTTGCCTACGTCTGACGTCACTGTCCTCTCCTGCATTTTCACTCTGCTGCTGCTGGCGCTGCTTCAGCTGAGTGGGGCAGCCGCTGCGCTGTAAATGGTCATCACCGTCGAAAGCGACAGAGGGCGGAATAAGGAGCACTCGGTACTTGAAGAACAAACAAGTAGCTTCTCAAACCAGGAAATTAGAGTGCGGACCGAGTCTGGAAAAGGTGAGACAAATGTCTTCTTATTTTTATTTTGTTATGGACCCAGTAGCGGTTAGCATTATCGCCAGCTGTTAGTTTTGAAGGGCTGTTATTAACAGGCTACATATCTCTGTTGTTTGGTTTGTTGCAGAAACGAATCGCGGTCTGTTGTTATCTCGTCAGTTCGGACCAAACCACTTCGTTATTATTACTCAGTTGTTAACAATGCCAGGATATAAAGGCAGTGTACTATCTGTGTGCAACGAACCGGAGCCATGTCGCTTATTTGCTGTCAGATAGTCAATGCAGGCGTTACCTCACTATTCGTGACATATTGATGGACAGCAGTCCACAGACTCAAGAAGCCTTTTATGGGAAGATTTAAGCGCAGACATTTCATTCGTTATGCCATCCTCGGCTAACCGGTAGGTCATATTAATATGCTTTGTACTTGAGACAGATCCTTATTTACAACACTTTATTTTTTCCAACAATCATTACACTCTGTCTTGAGCACAAGGAACTCAATTATCAGCATTTTATCTTATTTATTTACGATATTATTCTTATTTATGTTACTTTTGTAGTCTATCTATCTATCTATCTATATCTATATCTATCTATATCTATCTATATATCTATATATCTATCTATATATATATATATATATATATAATCATGAAATTAATCCTCACATTGCCCAGCCTTACCTGTACTAGATTGAACAACAATGAAACTATTATGAGCTCTTCCTTCCAATTCATAGAACGCCCTACTACTACTACTGTCATCCTCAGACATTTCTTTAGGAATCTCTCTTATAAATACTGTTTCTTGTATGTAATCAAACCCAAATGTGTCATTTCAGAACAAAAACACACCAGTGTTCACCTCTGCCCACCGCACACTTTTGGCTGAGGAACCTGCGCAGCTTGTCTGGGCCTGTCAGCAACAGCAGGTTTGGTGGAGACATACCTGTGCTGTGCGATGGCTCTGTTGACCCTGCATAGACTCCCATCCATCTCCACCGCTCCAGTGAGTTCAGCCATCCTCATGCCTTGTTGCACACAAACAAATTGCGCATGTTGCATATCATATCCTCAGATATAAAATTGTTTACCTTTGCTTAACAACAAGGGGTTCAGAACTACGAGACCCCCCTGAGTTCTGTGCGGAGAGCAGTTGTTCATGTGCGGGTCCTTTTGTGGAAATCATCACTCCATTTGCCTTAATGATAAGGAGGCTGTTTTGTTTTTCAGTTTCTGCCAGGGATGCGATCACGATGATAGGCTTACAGAGCAGACATGCCACAGATACTGTAAATCAAAGTGATTTTTAGCTCCTGTTCACATTCCTTACAATGATCTCAGAGTGTGATTGGCTCACCCTCTTTGTAAATGCTCACTGCCATTGAGTATATACATATAATCACATAAACACTGTATCATCAGCCTCTGTCTTTATCTTTGCCTCCTCCTCTCATTCTGTCACTCTACTCATGAAGATTATTCAACTTTACATCCAAGGTCTGGCTTTTCTTCTGCTCTTTGTCATTGCTGACTAAACCATAAAAGACCTGATTGTGGACCCAACTCTCATTTTTAGCATATTTTGTCACAGAATCTAATCACTCTATTATCTTAACTTTTGTCCCCCCCCCCTTTTCTTTCCCTCATCGTTTCTCTCCTGGCTCATGCTCACTTATCTGTAATTTATTTCTTTTCTTTTTTTTTCTTGACTCTGTCTGGACTTGTCAGTTGCATAACAGGTAATGTTACTGTCTCAAGTTTCTTTCTCTGTATACCCTTGTTACTACTGCTACTGCTACTGCTACTTCTACCTCTCACTCTTGTTTCTTTCCCCAGCCCCTCTCCTGCATTGCATTTCTCTTTTAATTTATTGTTTTAATTTCACTGCCAATGTCTTTGATCTTACATCCTTAGTGCTCTCTTCCTTGTGCTTACACACCGTATCACTCTGTGTCTGTTTCCTCACTTAAGCCTTCAACTGCACCATATCTGTGTTGCACCACATTTCACATGTCATTTGTGTCCACACTTCAACATGAATAACCTCACACACACACACTGCCTCCAATGCTCCCAGAGAGTTTGTTACGCCGTTTCATCACTGTCTTCATCAAGTCAGAAATGTGCCCTTTCGGGAACATTAGAAACAGTGTGCAATGTTTTCTCCTATTAATTAGTGTATCTAGCATCTGCTTAGAAGTTTCTTTGGGATGTACATACGTCAACTATTTTTCACAAGTACAGCCTGCACAACAGAAACGTCACAGTCGTCTGCAAAAGTGTAGAACAGAGACCCTCATCATCATTAAAACAAAAAACACTTGAGCATAATGTAGGTTTGTACACAGAAAGCTGAATCACACACAAAGACAATAGAGGAAAATCTTTTTATTTTCCATTCTTCTTGATAAGGCTTGTGAATTATTTAATTTTTTCAGGATGAAACACTCCAGAGAAGAGGGAGACTTCAGAAAAGGTAGATGTACACCACCATTGTCTTTGGATTGTCAAATAACAAAATGCATCCCAGTTGGAAGATTACAGTAACGTTACACTAACTGATTGTTGTCCATCTGCAGGGAGAGCTTTGCGCTGGTGAAGGGGGCAGTCCTTCTGCTGGAAGATGGCGAGGGAGGGGGGCTTAATCTGGAGACCGATCCCGCTCCAACTTCTTCGATAAAGGGCGGCAGATCGTCAGACAGACGGCACAGACAGCTTCATGCCATGGTTGAACTGCTCAGACCAGAAGATACCATCAAGCTGGTGAGGAATCAGATCAGCAGAACCTTAAAAATGTCACGCAGAAAGAATTTTGTTTGTGACCTGGTTATTTGAGTAAACATTCTCTGTCAACATGTGTAATCATATCTCAGGTAAAGATCATAACCTCAGTATGCTGAGTTTACTCATAAATTGAGTAGATTATGATGGAATCATCTGGCTCTTTTCACAATCTTACAATCTCCCAGCATTGTGGGTACCCTTTGAACCTAGGGATGCATCAGTCTGATACACATGATCAGAATGAGAGCTGACCCTATTAAGTCGATTGGGTATCTGCAATAATGTGACCGATCAACATTAATACAGTCTCTTTGTTAAAGTTATTGTAAAATTCAGTATTTCTGCTATCAGTTAACATTTGTTCAGTCACGGTGGGTTCCTAACTTTGGTTGTTATGGCCATCCCTGGCCTTATGATGCCTTTGGGCCAAAAAGAGGACTGGTATAAGATTATAGCAGATACTTGCGCAGTGCTGGCCGCTGGATTCAGTGTAAAAGTTCAACTTTGCACGCACACCAAGTGGTGCGCTAAGTGTTGGTCGACGCAGCAACAAAACACCCAAAATAATGAATTTCATAGCGCAGCGGTGCAGTTGTTGTGTTGTCTTTGAAAGGTCCTTTATGGTATACAGGGAGAACAATTTGGATGGTTCATCCCTAACAAAAAAACACATTTGAGAGCAGTTCTGACGATTAGAGTCCTTCTGTATTATAACTAACCTGTTATTTAGTCTGAGCATAGCTGCATTTCCCATGTCATTGCTCCAACATCTCACAAATATCACACACATGAATTTAATTTAATTTGTTTTTGATTATTGTACGATTTAATTGTGCAGATGTAGATGGACAGTGTGATGTGACCAGGCCACATCAGGTAGACAGTCATATTCTGCAAGTTGTTAATAACAACATTGCTGCAGGATATCAAAGTTTCATATAGAAATGTTGGCCGAATTCCACATCACCCGACTATACTGGTAGCTTTGTTTGTTTCAGCCCTATACTGCAAAAAAACAAATTACTGATGCTTTCCCATCTGATTTTGAGATTGACCAGTGTGTTTCGCAGGCAGCTGCTGGAATTATTTAGCTATAAAATATGATGATATGGGTAATCCATCACACTGAACATTTAGTTTTATTGTCAGTTATGTTTTCATTGCACCATAACCCAGCATGTATGGAAATTTTACATGAAATAATTTATTGTTCAGTAGTCAGCTCGTCAAGTCACAGGTTTAAGAGCTTCCCACAAGGACTTTACTATCAGCTGTATTACCAGCCATCAGTTGTGGAACTTATTACTTGTACTAGTAGTACTTAGTACTTGTACTAGTAGTGGTACTAGCAACAGCGTGTGATGGACTACACAGAGATATATTGAAAACAGAGGCTGTGTGGATGGCAGACCAAGGAAAACATTTTTCATACTGTTTAATCGGTTTATTTGGTTTAATGGTTAACTTCAGATGAATAAGTTACTTTACTTGGCCTCACTTGTGTCTCTCACACCATCTTGTCTCCCTGCTGCTCTTGTCGTCTGGTCTCTGTTGTGCAGGCGGTGCAGTTGGAGTCCGTCAGCTCGGTCAGAGTCAGGTATCTGATCATTGTCTCCACCCTCGGCAGCAAACAGGAGAGCATCCTGCTGGGCATGGATTTCCCCAGCGCAGACAGGTGTGTGTGTGACCAGGATGCTAAAGTACTGTGTCACAAAGAGAGCACAAAATGAGAGTTCCCATTAAGTTAATAATTTCTGGTTTAGCTTTGAGTTAAACTTCCTTCCTTGTCTTGAGTCTCTGTGCCCTCCCTGCCTCTTTGCAGTGATCAGTGCACCATCGGTCTGGTTCTGCCGATATGGAGCGACACACAGGTGTATCTGGACGGAGATGGGTAAGAAACATTGAGGATTTAATTAAAAAAAAAATGTAAAAGCACAAGCAGGGAGTTTGTGAGGCTGCAGCACAGACGGCACAGCCTGATATCTGGGATTCTGGCCAGAAATAATGTGAATGAGTAATGTCTCTATTTATGGAGCTGAATCATTCGCCATGAATTACAACTGCTCCTAACACTCTGGCCCCTTATATAAGCATGGAGATCATGTGTTTTTGTCATGAAATGAAAGTAAGGTATGATTGGCTTCTTTCTGTGTCAGTCTTGAAAGATCAGCGAGAGTTTAGCCGTAGGTAAATAAACTCCCTGCTTGCATTGTGGTGCATCCAAAACCCCAAATGTCCACTCTAACTCAGTTTTAGTGTACATGGTAGAGGATGTTTGTTTTGTTTTTTTGGCTTGTGACCACTCATCACAGTGTTCGTTATAAATGTGGCAACCGCTTGCTCAGTGGAGGATGCAGAGAAGGGCACCGTGAAACTGAGAGTTAGAAGCTCTAAAAACAGCGGGGCTAACACGAGGGGGTGGCTCTGCCGTCGCCTGCTGTGTTTTAACTAATCTCCCGCCACTCGCCGAGTGTGTCGTACAAGACGCTCTGATCGGCTGCCATGTCACACCAGCATGTTCAACCTCTTCAAGCTGGATCACACCTCCAACTGTGCTAATTTCTCTCTCTCTCTCTCTCTCTCTGTTCTCACATTTTCATTCCTCACAAGAACATCACTAATTTACACTGAATAACTGAATGAGCTCTCTGTCTGCCCAACAATGCTTCTTATCAGCATTACTACCTAATTTCTCTCTTCTCTCTATCTTCCTCTGGCTTTGTTATTGTCGCTCAAATTTCTCTTTTTTACAGTGGTTTCAGCGTGACCTCAGCTGAACGGACCAGAATATTTAAGCCTGTTTCCATGCAGACCATGTGGTGAGTGAAAAGACTGACATTGATGTGTTAAATGTTAAAACACAAATGTCTGTCCTATGGCAACTATCACATCACTTCCAAAAGTACCTCACCACCATGACTTTTCCCTCACAGTCTATTTTTTCTTTCTTTTTTCCCCCTCCTTTATTTTTATTTATATAAGTAAATAAAATAAAAAAAGTGAGTCTGTTTGAATTTTTTATGTTGAGTGATGCAAGTTCTGTGTAAGATTTTATACTGTATGAGTTCCCATTTTGTGATCTCACATTACATCTTAAGACTTCTGCACTGGTAAACTCTGTAGTTGAGTGTCCTCAAATAAACATTAACTTCTGTCCTTCCCCTCCCCTCCACTGTAAGGTCAGTACTACAGGTGTTGCATGGCTGCTGTGAGCGGGCAGTCAAGGCAGTGGTGATCCCTGGCAATGGCCTGGAGTGGGCCCAGCACTACTACAAGCACATCGAGTCGGACCGCTTCTGCATCAACGAGTGGGAGGCCATGAACGACTTGGAGTCAGTCCGCAGGAACAGTAGTGGACCTAGGTACAGTACCTCAAAGCTGTATAGTACTTGAGTAAATATATTTAGTTTCAATCCACTGCTGGAAATAAGATGAAAGTTATCGTCCGTTCTTATTGCTGGTGCACACATGTCCACTTTTTTTTTTTTTTCTTGTTACCGGAAGCTCTGCAGACAGAATTTCCAACGAGCGGCTGATCAAAGAGCACCTGAGAGACATCATGAGGACTGAAGACCTGGACAACCTCACGTCTAAAATGGTAAGACATGTGGAATGATATCAAGAGGAAGTTGGCTTGTATAAAAGTCAGAGCTATTACAGCATGGCTCAAGTCAGTTAAATGTCAAAAAGAGAATGTATAGTACGTATGCCTGTATAATTTGATCTTCCCTTTGCTACTGTAGGTACACTCTGCCCTGGAGGCCAGGATAGGCTTTGACATGAGACCCTTTAATGAGTACATTGACAACGAGATCCTGGTCACCATGGCTCAGATGGACAAACCCTCCAAAATATTTGACTACCTTTACCTGGTGAGTGATTGTTCGGCTTCAAAAAGAGTGATGAGCTTTATTTTACCGGCCATTGTGAGAAGCCTGTCTTATGCTTTAGCCAGTAAACTGACGGAAGTGTGCTTTCACCAGGATGTTGTCATGTGACTGTAACTTCCCCTTTGTGGGAGATCTGTGTTGACAGCGATAAGGAAGTCGATTCTATAGGCCCTGTCCTTTTTGCGCCCTCAACTAAACCTCTCTGTTACCTCCTTTTATATCTGGTTTCAGGGCTCTGAGTGGAATGCAGCTAACTTTGAGGAGCTGCAGAAAAACAAGTCAGTGTTTTTACCTGCAACACTTTCTATAGCTCTGTGTATTGTTGTTGTCCATCTCTTATTTATCCCTTGTCTCATGACATGAATAATACTCACTTGTGTTTTGCTGAGTCACCTCTGTGAGTCTAAGTGTGTGTCTGTGTGTGTTTCAGCGTGGGCTACATTCTGAATGTGACGAGGGAGATTGACAACTTCTTCCCAGAATCCTTCACTTACATGAACATCAGAGTGTACGATGTGGAGGCCACCGACCTTCTTTCTCACTGGCCAGACACATACAACTTTATCAACACTGCAAGGTAGTCCTTGAGCCCAAACACCAGAACATCAGGTTCAAATCTAAACTTGTGAAAAGGCATTGCGCCGTTTTTTGACTACAGTGACTTTTGCATATTACAAGTTTAGATTTAATCAATAACTAGACACTAAAATCAACATCAACACGTTTCACTTCTGACTTCTACATTTGGCCTAAAGCTCTGAAATGGGGGGGAAATGTGATTTGTGCTTACAGTCCATGATGACCTCTTGTAGTTTTGTGTCTTTTAATTGGAGCCTGACCAATTTATAAGCTGATATTTTGATTTTGAAAATTATTTGTTGTTTCTGCATGCTCAGGTAGACTCCGGTTAGCTGATTGTTTTGTATTAGTGGTGCTGCAGTTTTGTTAATGGGGGTTGCAGGGCAAACTATGCAACACTAATGACATGAGTGAAATATCCAACTCTACGTTTCTTTTTTTAATAGTCATAAATCAGCTGTTATAAACGCTGATAATGATTTAAATGCAATTAGCTCATCGGCCGATAATATTGCCTGGCCGATAAGTTTGTCTGCCAGCACCTTTTAAAGCTCACTATTTGCCGGGATATTTTTTTGGCTCTCAGTAATTGCTAGGCAACAAGCAGAGACTCCAGGAAGTTACTGTGCCTGGCCAAGAAATAGTCCCAAACATAACCCCTGTAAAACTGTATTTTTACTCTTTGGGTTAAACAAACAAGATATTCTGCGTTAATCAATAAGTTTGGTGCTGGTAGGCTGCCTTTTTATTTTTTAACCTTTTGGACAGAGCCATGTTAGCTGTTAGTATCCTACTTAGCGTACCCACACATATGTGTCATTTAACTCTCCAGCAGTGAATAATACATAGACTGTATATAAAAAGGAATAATATAGTAGGAATAATTTCTCAAAATGTTTAACTTTTTCTTTTTATCATGTACTACGTTCCTATCTTTGCTGCACCACCAATTTTGCAGTTTAGAGATGTCACTCTGTGACTTCTACTTCCAACAAGTTTAAGCTACAGAAAAATTGTGATTCTCTGTTTTTCAATTGCATTTGGACCACCTAAAAATGTACTTTCCGGCAGGGAATCTAGTCACTTCCCACTATTATCTTTCCACTATTTGTAAAGCAAAATCCCTAAACCGCTGACTGAGCTCCTCTCCATCTCTGTGTGTCGCAGGAAGAGTGGACAGGCGGTGTTGGTGCACTGCAAGATGGGCGTTTCTCGTTCTGCGTCCACAGTGATCGCATATGCCATGAAGCAGCAGCACTGGTCACTGGATGTGGCGTTGGCCTACACGAGGGATCGCCGCTCCATCGTCAAGCCAAACGAGGGCTTCATGAAGCAGCTCCAGACCTACAACGGCATCCTCAACGCAAGGTCAGCTTAGGCCTGATGCTGCATGAAGATCTTTATTCTAACATAGCGATTGTGGTGATGTCCAGTGTCACATTGCTGACATGAAAATTACAAGACACTTTAAATAAAATATTACACTTTATTTGGGGTTTGCCACTGTCTGGGGCTTTTTAAGAATTTGTGTGTGGGTTTATGCAGGTAACACTGTACTCAGGGTACCCGCAGGGTCTTAAAAGTATTAAAAAAGTCTTAAATTTCATATTCCAAAAATAGGCCTTAAAAGTCTTAAATTTCATTACCAAAGTATTAAAATTCGTTTACCACGGTCTTAAAATTTTTCTTGTCCTTTCGTAGGATTTAATTAATGCCATAACGTCATCAGTGAAGTACGGCAGTACAGGTAACGTTCCTGTTTACGTCAGTGTTCAGCTTTACGCTCTGGACTGTGAAGTGTTTGCGTTGCAACAGCTCTGGCATCCAGCTCTGTGCGAATCAGTCAGTTGGTAGAAAAGAAAAGAAAACGTCTCTGACGTGCCACTAATGTTAGCTTGACGACTCAGAATGGGCAAGTGTCTGAAATTCAGAAAGCCAGAGATGCGAACAAGTTGGCGGGCGAGGCTGAGGGCAGTGGCGCTGAGGTTAGCACAACAACACAGGGTCTGTGTGTCGGCGTTGCGCCGCCTTTGTAGGCTAACGTTATGTGAATGGAAACATCAAACTAATGCACATTAAACTTACTTCACCCAGATGCGCCAATCAAGAGAACGAGGGAAAAACAAACCGGAGCCCAACTCCTTATCCCCGCTGCTTTCAAGCCAATACTATATAATACTATATTTCAAGCAGCCTTTAGATGCTTTAGAAAAACAGAACAAGATGAATAATCACTGAAACAATTGGCATAATATATTACTTTACCTTATCTAACCAAGGTGCAACTAATTGCAACAACTCATACCACACAATTTGTTTGCATTTTTGATTTCACCCCTTATTGTATTCATTCATGTGTCATTTACACTGTGGATACTGGGGACATGTCTCCATCACTTTTTTTAAAGCATTTTTAAATATGTTGTGAAAGATGGCTTGCAACAAGAAATGAAAATAGTTTGAGAAAGATTTATTTGCCCAATAAGAAAACATGCAATGCAATTTAAAGATAAAAGAAACAGATGTGCATTGTTCAAAAAAGTTTAAGCTCAAAAAATCTGAATCACTTTATTTAAATAAAGACAATTCTACCATAAATTGATGCAGAAAATGTCTCCAGAATGCAGGAAATTAAGTGTTTTAGTGCTCAAAATTTTCTAGGGGATCCCCATTTAAATATATTTCAGCATTGAATATTTTATTAAATGGTGTTAAAATATCTTCTTGTCTTGTTCTCGTGAACCCAATATTGTGAATCATGCATGTGCACTAAGTGTATCGTCACACCCCTAATCTGAACCCTTATGTCCCCACCTCTTTTCACCAAAAAGTGACATCCTTGATTAATTTTATCTTATCAAAGTACAAACACACCCCTAGCTATAGCGTGTTAAATATGAATGTATTATAATAAAATGTTTTATTAAATTCATGTAACTTCGTAAATAATTTTCTCAGGCTTAAAATTAACACAGATTTTCCATTAAACGGTGAAGTTGGTATTAAATTTCATCCTAGGTGGTATTGAAAAGGTCTTAAAGTCTTAAATTTAACTTTGAGAATCCTGGGGATAACCTGGTCCTGTATGATCCTTCATCCTTTCAGTCAGCAGCGTCACAGCGCCCTCTGGAGGCGAATGTCGAGAGACCAAAGACAAAAGTCACTACGCAAGGAGGAGGGAGGGGAAGGAGCCAAGGCAGAAGAGGAAGAGGAGGACTATGAGGACCTTGACGATGAGCTGGATGGTTATGAGGATGAAATGAGTTCAGATGAAAAAGAGGATCCAGTGGAGCACGCAGAGGTAATAATATTCATTGATATGTTATTCGCACTTTAAATCCTGCTGATCTTTTTCATCTTCACAGCTACAATCCTTTTATCTCCCCAAACGCACCCAGGTGTTTGAAGAGCCCACCCCCGACTCTGATACCACCCAGGGACCCGAGAAGACAGAACCACCAGACATCAATCCTATTATCACAGTAAATGAACCAGACAAGGTGAGCAGACTGGCCAACATCATCGCGTCTGAAGCCGTTTGATCTCACCGCTTCACAATGTTTTTTGATGTTCTTTTTCTTTCTCAACTCAAGGTTGCTTCGAGTGTTAATCGCAGTGGCAGGATGAACCTTTTCTCCCTCATGCAGTCCATTAGTGAACTAGATGATGTGGTGGATAAAGGACAGGTAAATGAAGCCACTCTCTGTTTCACGCTCCTAATAGTTTTAGCTGGTGAACACGCAAATGGCTGATTTGTAAGTTGAGGAAAGTTAGAGGAGCCCGGTGTTGAAATTAATTCTGGAAAGAGGTGTTAGATGTGTGTTTTAAATATTTAACAAACTTGAGTGTGATTCTGCTTATATTTCTGTAAGCATATCAGCTTGGTTGGTATTTGAAGTGCAAATGTACAGTGTCACTTTAAATTCGCTAGTTGTTTTTATTAAAGTTTTTAACAATAATGCCAGAAAAAGAAGATACAGGAAATATATTTCTGGTTGTAATGTTGAAGGTCCAGTGTGTAATATTTAGGAGGATCTATTGATAGAAATGCAATATAATATACATAACAATGTTTCCAGTGGTGAACCACTAAGTTTTTATTACCTTAGAAAAACTAGTAGTAGTTGTTGTTGTTGTTGTTGTTGTTGTTGTTGTTGTTGTCTGGTTTATTAGAAGTAAGAAGAGAAGTGAAATTTGGACAAATAGAGGACCACATATTATTTAGTAGAAGAGCCGGCAAGAGCATGTCGTACACTGTAGCTTCTCCTGCATGCTTGGAAAGGGGGGGTGAGCGGTCGCTGATGGCACATTCTTGAGGTGTCAAAAAGAGGAATAAAGAAAAAAGTGTACATGGAACATAAAGAAGTACACAGAACAGTATACAAATTTATAAGTAGACAAATAATAAAAACTTAAAAACTGCCAGGGGTAGTCTATATAGAGAGAGAGATTAAAAGAGGACCATATGTTGACAGTTTTCACAGCCATTGTGTTGTTGAATTTAGGAATTAAATTGATAGAAGATATCATAGATGTCTCCGTGTTGTTTATACACTCTGATAATGCTAATCCAACACATATTTGTAGTAGCCTCCATGTTGATTCCACATTCTGACTTAAGAGCACATGGACACACACTGAAGTCAGAAGAACAACTTCACAACTGAGACCATCTGAGTAGCACGTGAATGCACAGTGAGCTGTTGGTTGCAATTCGCAACCCTCACCACTAGATGTCACTAAAACTAACACACTGAACCTTTTAACAGCTTTTGATGCCATGTTTCACTTGTTTTTTTTAGCTTCCTCACCCTGATTTAAGGTTGAAAAACTCTAAACAGTTTAGTTTAGTGCCAATGCTCATTGCCTCTTTGTTCTTTTCCAAGATACCTGGCAGTCCGAGGCGGTCTCCAGGGCAGCGGAGGCATAGCCTGGCACGACGGGGGCTGATTCACCAGAGAGAGTGTGTGGATGTTTCACCTGAACCACGAAGCCTGCAGGACGCCAGTCAAAGCAAAACCTAAAGAGATGGAAGAGCAGGGAGGTACAGGGGGGAACCTATAAAGGAGGCAATCGATGGTGGAGGAAAAAGTGGTGAATGAGACGATACCTGAAGTAAAAGTGTGCTCCGGTAACATGCCAAGGTTTTTATACACTGATACACTCTGGCTTTATATTTAGATTATTTAGATGATGAAAGTTTTAATTTGTGCATTGCAGATCTTATAACTATTGTAACAGATGGATAACTGTTGATAAAAGGGTCTTTCTGCAGTATTGCTATTCCAGTGAAAGCCTGAATATCTGATGGCTGAAGTATCAGTGTTGTATTAGTATTCTTCTTTTTAGTGTTTTAAGAACATATCTTACCACATACAGATGTTCCGGTCTCTCCCTCCACGTAGCGTCCTCCCTCGTTCCCTCTTCTGCTCTTGTATCACCACTCCAGACAATGCGTGTATGGTTCGTTCTTTGATTATTTTGTTTCAAAACCAAATCGGAAAAACCAAAAAAGCAAGTCGTTTTCTGTTTCAAAACAAAAACCGAAAAACTGTTAGTTTGAAAACCTACCTGGCTGCTGTACATGAGCACCTGTTGTTTGCAACAGCTGTGGTCTGCATCAGGCTTCATCCAACCAGAAGGAATGATCACCGACCGTCCGCAGCACACCAGGTTGCTCCTCTCCCTCGCCCTGGATGCTCCAGCGCCCAGCTCCCTCTCCGGTACACCTACTATGGGATGTGTTGCCAGTGGAATCAGCGCACTGGACGGTCAGTGGTCGTTCCCTCTGGCTGGATGAAGTCCGATGCTCCTGATTTTAGGCATAGCCTAAACCATATGTTACGGCAACTGGAGGCTCTCGGCAGTGCCGCGCAACTTCCTAAATTTTTCCATCTCACAAAGAAAATAAAGGTCAGGTTGAAACGGTGTAGAGAGGCTGAATGAAAATTAACCGAACCTTTGCTTGCCAATTTAACTGGTAACAGTTAATGTTTGCTGTGTACGGATGTACTGACAACTAACACTGAATTAATTTGATACTGAAGAAAACTTAAAAACCGGATTCTTAGGCTACTTCTGAGGCGTTCCTGTCCCAGTTGCTAGTGAGTTACAAACTGAACGTTGAGCCTCCTGTTTTTCTTACTAAAAACACACTTATGTTGATGTTCAAGCTCATCTTTAATTACATTTAATCAGGCACCGCCCAAGTGTACCTGCTGCAGGTTTATCAAGTGTAACACACAAAGCTACAGTAATCGGGCACATTAAATATCAAAATCAATATTTTCCGGTTTTGGTTTTAAAACGGAAAAAACAACTTGTTTTTTTCCGATTTGTTTTTGAAACAAAATAATGAAAGAACAAAAACCATACACGGATTCCAGACATATCTATGCAATTACTGTTCTCTTTTACTTTTCCTCTGTAAATATGAGGTTGTATGCTGCCAATCCAAGGTAGACTGTTTAAAATGTGTTTCATACTCTCTCTCTCTCTCTGTCATCAGAAGTCTTTTTTTCACAAGATTGTCCACAGCTGGGAGGATCTCAGCTGTGGTTTATGGACCAAGTGAGGGCCAGTTTTATGGCACAAGCATGTTTGCCAAACAATGTATTCCAAGGTGCCAATTAATATATTTAATTGAAAGTCTTTATCATGTCAGCATGTTAAGAACCAGCATCACCATTTTATTTTTCTTCCCCCTCTTTAAACACCAGGGCTGTGTGAGTGCCTTCAACCTGAGAATGAAATATGACTCTATGACTGGTGTGTAATGTTTTTACTACGTGGTGGCTGTATATTGTCTGTTTTTTGTCCCGTTTCTCACTTCGTTTTGATTGCAGTATAAATGTGACTTCCCAAGGTCTTGCATGTAAGCAGATATATGTATTAACACATATTTGCTGTGAGGACAAAATGTTCAGGGTTTTTCTCATGTATTTATAATGACATTTATTGGATTGAAGTAAATTATTCAGTATACTGTTGTCAGACTTCTGATCACTAGATGCTGATGTGGAATATTCTTATTTCATGCTGGTGTTATTTTTTCATTTGGTGAACCCAAGCTAAAGCCTATTTCATTTAACCTGCATGCTGACCGTTAAAGAAAACATGCACTTTATAAACCCACAACACACTGTTCTCCTCTGCCTGAGCCAATGTCTCGCTGTATTATTAAAATGAAATGAGTCTCGTCTTCAGCTCTCCACTGTATGCACCTCTCTCTTGTTTACAAGAAGCACTCTGAGCTAAAAATAAATGATTATACTCAAACCAACCGCTTTGTTTCTTTATTAAATAATAAACTGGATTGCTTCTGTTCAGAAACATTTTATCCACAAGAGACAAAGCACAGGGTCAAGCAACCTTACGTTCATCACTCAGTTTGTTTCTCTTTATATTGTCTGGAGATCTTCATATCAGTATAGTAAGAGTTCTCAAAAGAGCAGAGAGTAAGAAATACAGAGGACATTTTTACAAAACAGATGACACCTAAATTCAGGTACTGACGTATTTCCTTCTGGGCTCACTGAGGGTGATTCCTCCCTCTTTCATTGCTGCTCTGAAAGACTGAACCTGTGAAAGAAACAAGTCAAAGAACAAATAAACATGAAGCAGGCGCTGACTTATCAGGGGGGGAAAAAAGCAGTTGGTGCTGCATGTACTCACAGCATCGGAGCGGTACGTCCAGGGGATCGCCCTGTACACCATCCTGGTGATTCCAGCCTGCTGGCATCGATGTGCCAGCACCTCGCCCACGGCCTGACACGCCGCCACACAGCTTGTGGAAGCCAGCTCCTTCTTTACAGCCCACTCCTTGGTTGAACAGGAAACCACCGGGACAGGAGAGCTGCTGGAGAACACCTGTGCGGTCACATGGTGCTGGGTGCGAGAAAACTCCAACCTGAAAAGATGGTAAAATAGAAGTGACGCAGTAGGTAAAAAACTATGGTTTATTTAGATCTGCAGGATTAAACGTCTGACAGAGATGTCAAGTAAAAAAATGCACTCATGTAGTTATGATTTGTCTTTATATATGAAAATAAGTTCTGTCTCTGGGACTGATGACATTAACGACACAAAATCCACAGTCACGGTTTAATACGGAAGACACTACAGTGTCATACTACATCAGGTTTCTTCCACGAATTATTTCTGGAATACAAATTACATTCACAGTTTACAAGTCCGATGTGACACCAAGTGGAAAATTATTATAAAATCTTATTTTACACAACAGATGTCTAAATATCTTAACATGTTTGTCATATTTCCTCCACACAGACCTGTGGTAGAACTCCCGGTGGGGCCAGGTCGTCTTCCAGCCCCGGTCCTTCACAGCCAGAGCCATCTGCTCCAGGTTCCGGGGGTTTCTGTTTATAAAGGTCGGGTTCACGGCTTCATTGTCCTCAGCGCTGGGCTCCGGCTGAGAGGCTGCCTGACTCAGACACCGAGCTGGGTAACAGACAACAGGTTTCAGAAAACAAAGGCCGACCAGTTGGTACTTTAGAGTTAAACCAGTTAACATAAAGGGAAACAGCCGTAATGAAAATATCTTCCTTACCTGTCTGGTTTGTAGCCACAACAGGACGACACCGTTGAATTTGACCTGACAACAGCCGCACACTGCGACTTATTCCGCTCAAAGCCATCTCCTCCTCAGCTGTGTTCACCGCATAAGTTAGAATAAAAGTCCAGTCAATGTGCTGTCATCCGTTATGTTCTTAAAAATATGAATACATACTCGTTTCTTCTGTCTAAGAATTCACCGTGACATGTGGAGCGCCATCTTTGACATTCAGACAACATCCGGTTCACGTGGTGCTACTTTACAAGCAGCACTGACAGGAACAAACGCCAGCGTTTAGACGGTTCCGTTTACACGCCCTCTTCCAGAAGAAAGACATTCGCTTTCGACTGTACCGTCCAGTGGTGAAAAATAAATTAGGTAGGTTAACCTGTTGGAAACTACCAACTATTTGCCCCTATTTCCAGGAAAAATAACATTCCAAAAATTATTCAGGAATCATTTCTCAACCATTTGGCCTAGATGCATAATTCTGGTCAATTAAACTATTTTTGTTACCATTACAGAGTAAATGGAGATGCAATAAATGAAAATATGCGATTTTCATCGTTACCTAGTATAAAATATATATTTCAAAGGCAATATCATTATCATAACCATCATCCTGCAGATCTTCTACTTCATCTTTAATACTACTGTAACTGTAAATTTGATTAAAAGAAACAAATATACAACAATTATTATACAATTTATAGAGATATACCCAGGTGGTATCCATGTTTTGGCCATATTTACTGTTTACATGTTGACTTTTTACTGTTTTTTTTCTTCAAAACACTATTTATTTTCATACAACCATACAAATAACAAAAAAAACCCATTAAAATATTAATAAATACAATGAATATTGATCAATAATGAGCAAAGAATTCCCATGCTTTACAGGGCGATATGATGATAATAGAAGCTCCCATAGTGATGTGGTGGTATCAATAAGTTCCTTTAGGCCAGACCTTTCATTTGGTATGCACTATGTCTGTGTAAAAATTGTTTATACAATGTTAAAGATTATTATATTATACTTACTACAGTATATTTTGCTGATAATTCTTCTGTACTTTTATATAAGATTTTGAATTCTAGACTTCTTACTTGTAATGGGGCTATTTTTTCATTGTGGGTTTACTCCTTACACTTGCACTCAAATGAAGGATTTGAATACTTCTTCCATCATTGGTAACCTCACAAATCATACATAGGTGACACAATAAATTATGTCACTACATAACAGGTAAGGTAGCCTGTTCAATAAATGACTTTTCACAATGATATTAAACAAGAAAATCATATTTAATTTCAGTTAAAATGTAATTTTACAGTGCATACCGGCAGGGGAAAAAAAGAGATAACATCCAGGGCAGAGTTCTGTTCAAAATAGTGGCATGATAATGGGATGTTATGATCTGTCCATAAGACTTAGTGGATAAACATGCACTCATTCTCAGTAAGGCACATGAAAAATGTTTCACTACCAATAAATACCTGTTATGACTGGAAGACATAATGTATGTAATGACATAAAAAAATCTTTGGCTGCTGAAGATCATTCAGATAATTCCCTGCCATCATTTGAAGAATCCTACAGGACTGGCTTATTAAAGCACAATACAGCGATTCATCACTCATTCATTCCCTTAAACTGGAGATCAGATTCATTAATTGATTGGTTTCCCTTTTCATAATTGATATCTATCTATCTATCTATCTATCTATCTATCTATATATATATATATATATATATATATATAATGTATGTTCATACATTGAAAAGTAAAAGATCATTAACTATTTATTGAGCTACTAATTAGAGAGCAGTATAGAACACTGATAATGTAAAGAAATTAGCGGGGGGATACAAAAGTACATATTTTTTAAGTGAAATTCATTATATAGGGACTCATTCTCATTATACTGATGCAAAAATAACAGTCTATACCATCATGATCATTATGCAAGCGAATTAAATGTTTTCATAGCCAAAAGGCAATTGAATAAGACTGTTAAGACGGGGAGACAAAGTCATTCTGATGTGTGTAGTTGTTCTCCAAGCAGTCAATAATGTACATAGGTTAACATAACCGTTCTTAAGTCATTGTTTGACCGATCATATAGCAGCTGATGCATTGATCAGAGATGAGAAAGAGAAAGGGCTGAGCTTGTAGCCTGTTCCACTGTAGAACTTGTTCTGAAACTCCACCCTGTAAGACAGAGAAGCAGAGTCAGTATACAAATATAAACTACAACACATACTCCATTTCTGCCCACCCACTTCGTTTCTCTACATCTCCTCACAGTGGATACAGTGGATATGAAGCTGAATATACATTTTTGAGCTGCTCTGACTTTATGTATGGTACCACTGTCGGGAAAATCCCTCTTAATCCATGAGTTGAATTAAAAAAACATCAACATAAAAACAACACTGTTTGTGAATTTTCATGGTCCCCAAATGGATGGTTTGGTGACCCTTAAATCTTTTCTCTACCACCATCAATGAAGTCATATTTGTCAGGTTACAAACAGTCAACAGAGTGCGATGTGTACACCATTATGAAAAGACACAAAACTTGTCTGGGGATGTTCTGGGATGGATTACTAAATTATCAGGTTAACTTTGATAACTGAATCCCAGGATTCTTTATGTATGAAGAAGGTCTTTTGATGTTTGGTACAAACCTAAACCTAAAGAAAAATGACTACAGTATGGAGACTTATGTGAAGCCAGATTTAACCAAATACCATAAACATCTCTGTGTGCACAGTTATGTTTGGGTACATTGCTATTAGCTATAGTAACAGAAGGGTTTAGATTGTTTAGTTTGTTGTGTGATTAAGGTGACACTGAAGATTAAGTGCATTTTATGTTTTCATTACATTGGAAACCTCTGTCCGAGTCAAATCAGTATATCACTATATTATTTTCTCATGCAGATCACCATCTAATTGGCATCTGTATATTTATTACATGAATACAAAGTAATGAAACGGTCCGCTTCACTATTTTTTGAATTATGTTGACTGTCAACATAATTCAATAATGTCAAATGTTTTCAAATTACTCTACTGTGAATAATTTAAATACATTATACAGTACTGTTTATAAAATGTAGATGACTATATACTGATATAGATACTGTTCAAATTATAATTAGGCTATAGCCTAAAACAGTTGATTGCTCTTTCAGATACAGTAACGTTAGTAGTGCAGTAAGCTACAACTTGGCAGCATTTGTTTAGGAATGATTCTGTCCAAAGGTTTTGTTTAATAAGAGCAGTTTTACTCAGTGTACACCTACTCATTAGTCCTGCTTTGTGAGAAATGGCTATGGAACATTAGAAGCAACAAGACTATTTGTATAAGCATTTAAAAAATGTCTTAATTAACCCATCAAGTATTGTTTAACACATTTTCCCCTTTGCCTTCCGTCCCTTCCTTACCAGTGCAGACGCAGCGCATGCAGGAAAGCTGAGAGTCCCTCCATAACCAGCAGGATGCAGATGGTCAACACAGCAAAGAAGGCAAAAATCACAAAGAGGACTACAGATCCCACATAGCCCTGCCACCTCAGTGCAAGACGCATCACCATCACCCACAGCACCTCTGACAGCTCTGTGAAGACACAAATAACTCACCATCAGACAGCCGTCAGTGCTTGGAAAAAGTATATCATGTGTGTTTGAATAAAA